AATTTAGCAGGTAAACCAGCTGAACACCAGCTTGGCCAGACTGGCTTAAAACCAGAAAACAATATTTTTTTCAGCAGGGAAATTGTGCCCTGAAATTTTTCCCCTTTCATTTGATTTGCTTACATTTTTGTTGGAACCATGTTGTTGAATAATATATAATGCCATAAGTAGATAATCTTGGAAAGCATAAATCCTTTACAATAAGAGTGATCTTAGTTACATAAAAAGTCTATGAACCTCTTGTCCCATACTGAATATATCTAATGAATAATTTGTAAGGATGATTTTTTTGTAGTACTGCATGTACACTTTGAATCTCATAATACCCACTCAAGACACTGCTCAAGTACTCTTTTGCAAAGCAAAATGTTCAAGATCATAGTCTGTTTTTAAGCGAGAATGTTAATCTCAGCATTCTCTACAATATAAGCAATGAAAACCATACGCTTTTGCCCACTGCTGCCCATTGTATGCTTTATTGGCGTGTGTTGGCCCTACAAGGAGTCTGGCACAATTACAAATGATTTGTATGGGCAAGTTCACAAGCCCCTGTCCCACTGGACTGAATGCTGTTATCAATGGAGAACAGAGGATTATTAGTGTGTACGTGCCACTTACACAGTGTGCAGAGACTAAAGGCCATGACCACTGCCAGGACAAGGGTTTCCAATATCTGTCTGTCCCCGAAACCTTCAGCCCTGTGAGATCCATGCTAGCATACGCACGAGTCAGTGTCACCTCTGTTTAAAAGATGAAATGAATTAATGAAACGGATTGTATCATCCAATAGTTTTCAAAAAATTCCCAGTGCTATAATTTAATACATAGTTAATGTTTTTTTAAGTCTCTTATGCTCATCAAGGCTGAATTTATTCTTCATTTCTTACTGTTATCGTGTTGAATACAGTTGTGCTAGAAACCATGATACACCTTTTTCAGGATTATTTGATGAATAGAAAGTTCAAAAGATCAACATTTGAAAAAGAAATCTTTTGTAATATTATTAATTAATTATTAATGTCTTTGCTGTGACTTTTTATTTAAAAAATAAAATAAAAAATCTAACTGACCCCAAACTAAATGTTGAGTTAATTCTGGTAAATGTTTGGTTGTGATTGTGTCATTTAGAATGGGTTTTTCATCAGAAATGTAATAATATACAATGATAATAATACAAAATTTAAATAATGGTGCAGCGATTCCCATGAACAGAAAAAGCAGAAAATGTGTATATTTGTGATAAGAATTCGTGCCATTCCAAAGTAATAAATACTCATTATGTCATAGACATATTTCAAAATAAAGTGGGATATACAGAATATACCGTTCTTCTCAAATTTAGTTAAGATACCTAGTTTGCTTGTTACTAAGCATTTAAAACAAACATTTTGATTTGAAAAGATTTGATGGCACTAACCTGACAAATGCTGGCAAATTCAGACTTTATTTCTTCATCAAGCGGTTGCTGAATCAACCCAGTACTTTGTAAACATGACATGGTTTAGGCTGACTGATGAAAAAAAAAAGACAGAGAAAGGGTTTTTCAGTTCTGCGTGTAATATACATCAGAAACGGACTATATAGGCATTTAAATAGAATTCTACATATATAGAATCCTATAAATCTGACATGTATATTTTTGACTGCATAAACTCAAAATTCAGCTCTCAAAAATACCCCAAAGTGGCTAACAAAATATTTAGATCTGGTGACTGTGCAGGCCCTGAGAGATGTTCAACTTTACATTCATGTTCATAAAACCATTCTGTCACAAGTCTCTCTGTGTGTATTGGTGAATTATCATGCTGATACACGGCACCCCCTTCAGGGTGCAATGCTTGAACCATTAGGTGCGCATGGTCATCCAGAAGGCTTTGGTAGTCCTTGGCATTGACGCACCCTTCAAGCACAGTGGTAAATGCCATGATATTGCAGCCCAAACCATCACTGATCCACACCATGCTTCACTCTGGGCATGCAACAGTTGGGTCGGTAAGCTTTATTGGGGCTTTTCCACACTGTAACTCCCACAGATGGGAAAGACAGTGAAGGTGGACTCATCAGAGAACAACACATGTTTCACATTGTCCACAGCCCAAGATTTGCACTGTTGGCATCAATCAAACCGACATTTGGCATTGGCTCGAGTGTTTGGCTATAGCAGCCCGACCATGAATATTGACCCTGTGGAGCTCCCGTCCCGACGAACAGTTTTGGTGGAAACAGAAGAGTCGAGGTGCGCATTTATTTCTGCAGTGAGTTGGGCAGCTGTAGTTTTATGTTTTTTGGATATAATCCTAGTTAGTACTTGGACATACCTTTCAGACAGCTTCCTCTTGCGTCGAGAGTTACTACTGTTGGATATGGTTTGTCCTACACGGTGGTATAGCTACCGACATTACCCTGGATACCATAGCTCTCGATACACCAAAGACTTGCTGTCCTGGCCACAGATGCACCAGCAAGACGTGCACCAACAATTTGTCCTCTTTTGAACTCTGATATGTCTCCCATTGTGTTGTATGTATTGCAATATTTTATGTGCATCTGTGATATTGCTTAATTGATAATTCAACCATCACACTCTGCTCTTACTGATGGAATGTCCAATCAGTGAAGATTGCCCACCAGGCCGCACATATATAGGTATGAATCCTCCAACACTAATATAGTGCCAGTGTTTCAGTTTCATTGTCCAACCCCTGTATATATGCTGTTTGCATAAAATTTCAGTCCCCATGTTGCATAATTTCTAAATTTGCATAGATGGTAAACAATTGCCTTAATGATGACAAAGTTGCCTCACAATTGGCCTCTACCTGGGAATCATTCAAATAACTTCCACACTCTCTCAGAGATGAGGAACCATTACTCTAGGACTGCTATGAAAATGAAGACTAGAGAACATTCCAAAATTGCTACTGTGGAAGTTAAAATAAGCACCTCAATTTGAATAAGAGTGAAAAATAATATCCAAGAGTTTGAATGTCCCAGTGGACACTGCTGTTTCAATTATCAGGATGTGGAAGATACCGGTACATCAAACCACCCAGACACTTCCTTGAAAAGGTCGTACCTCAAAACTCTCTGTGCGAACATAAAGGAGACCTGTGAGAGAAGCCAGAGAGAGCCTATCGATCACTTCGAAGGGGCTACAAAGTTCAAGAGCTGAGAATAGAGTAAAGGTGCACTAGTCAACCAAATCTGCACAACATTGGCCTACATTGTGGCACAAATGGGGAAAAATTAGCTTTAAGTAAAAAAAAAAGAAAAATGCTGAGTTTAAAAATAATAGTGTTAAATATTGTTAACTGATAATAATGCCAGCACACTTGATTTTGTGATAAGATTTCAGCCACAATTTTAAGCTATGTGGGAAATGCAGTTTTAACACTGCCCACCATCAAACATTATCATAGCAACTGTGAAGTAGCATCATTCGACTTGCCTCAACAGCCAAAATAATGGACTAAAAACATACCTGAACTGTGTGGGAAGCTGGTACATACTTATTCAAAAAGGTGGCTCTGTAGAATATTTAAATCTGTGAACTGTTTTTTAATACTGTAATAAAACATAAAATCTGTGGTCGCATTCAAATACTAGGCTACATGAAGAGTTTCTGAAATTATCACAGAAATACAAATTTTAGTGTAGGACTTTTGGGGTACATGTAATATTCAGCAGTTGGGGGAGTGTTTAAAAAAAACAAAAAAAACAAACAAATGCAATGTAGAAACTAATCCCCTATTAATTTGGGCTATACTATCCGACAAGTATGTACTGAATGGTACAGTCTCAACATGTTGTTCACTGACTGGTTAGATACTATCTGATGGAATTATTGGCGATACGAGATACATACATGAAGAAAATTCTCGGTCAGCGCCAGGTCTATCGTGCAGTCGTGAATTAGCTGAAGGCAATCAATCGTTTCATGTTCAGTGTGAAAGCTCCATTCGTTGGGGATTCGCATAGCTTTATCGCGTCACGCTCAGTGTAAAAGGGCCTTTATTTTTTATCAAGTAAATAAGCATAAGAGACTTCATAGCATAACTGATTTATTTTAAAAGTAGGCTAATAAAAAATCGGTACAATGGTAGTGTGCAAACAAAGTAAACAAATAAAGAGTTGAAAAGGGAGAGGGATTTGTGACACGAAGCAAGTTATTGCACTTTCATATACCTTTTTAGGGTGTGTTCACACTTGTAGTTTGGTTCGCTTGGTTCGTTCGTTAGGTCCAGAACAAAACAAAAAACATTTAGTCCTGGTCCGCTTAGCGGTCAGATTGGTATTTTCATCACCGAACCTAAAGATACCGACCTAAAGGCATAGGGATTCGTTCACAACCTGACTGGTTTGCTTTCATGACGTATTGCCTATTTTGAGACGGAACTTACAGAACATGTTAAACAATGCTGTGTTCTGGGCTAAAGGCGCTCGTTGTACGTGCGTAGCCTACATATTTTGGTATTTTGACCAGCTGAGAACTTTTTGAAGAGTTTATAAAATGCGTTAAGGAGTCAAAACAGCTGCAGGAATTCCTCCATCACACACACAAACGATCTGCTGCGAGGAGACGAGGTTCTGATTCCTTTACCGAAGTGTGATGGGCAACATCGCGACTATGACGAGAAAAAACAGTTATGCATGAGCATTCTGTCCTTTTTAGGGTCTCATCTTCCTGTTTATTATGTCTTTGGTCCATGTTGCGTTCATTTATCATTGAAACCGCTAAAGAGTTTGTTTGGAAGCGTACCGAGACCCATCTTTTCAGCGGTCTTGGTCCGCTTGTTTGGTGCACACCAGGGTTCAGATGGCAGCGTTCACACTAATTCAAATGAACCGCATTAACAGAGCAATCGCAAAAGGGTTCGTTTTAATCAAACCAAACATGCCATAGACTCACAAATAGGGTCAGTTTGGATTTCATGTTGACTTCCACTGTGGTGTCTTACTTTAAGAGTCTCTCACCGTATCATATTTCTCTGTCTCTCCAGCCTTCGCCCTGTGAATGGTGTCGCTGCGAGCCAAATAACGAGGTGCACTGTGTGGTCGCTGACTGTGCAGTACCAGAGTGCGTCAACCCAGTGTATGAGCCAGAACAGTGCTGCCCCATCTGTAAAAACGGTAAGAACAGCCTATTTGCTATTATAGGTTTATGGAGAAGATGAAAACACCTGCAAGGTGTACTTTAAATAATTCCTTAGAGTTCTCTCTCTACTCTTTCCCAAAGGAAAGCGAATTGTTCTGCTGACTTGCATGTATCAGATTTCATGAAATAGCCGTTATAGTGTGATATAAACAGACAGCTCTATGCACAGGTTGTTTAAAAACCACTCAAACTTTCTATTAGATCTCAGTTTCACCAGCAGGCGAGCTCTGATTACCAATCCTCTGCTCAATTACAGGGGAAATTTGGTTCAGATAAACAGTGTCCCATTGATTAAGACCATGCTAAGAAGGATTAATTGGCCAAAGGGGACTCCTCAATCTCCTGTGACTTGATGCACTATAGTCAGCAAGACCCAATTCCAAAATTACAATTATTGGATTCCAATGGCTCACTGCATGGCCAAGGGCAAGAGATATCCCTGAGTCAGTCCGATACAGCGGCACAAACACAAAATGTAAGCTCAGTGAATCAGTGGGATGAATAAAATGTTGATCGGTACTGTGCTTATAGGCCAGGCAACCTGTAGAAGCTTGCACGACTGGAATGTAACTGTAGATTAGGCAGCAAAAGATAAATATTCTAACTTTCATTTAAGATTAGGATAATAAATATACAAAATATATAAATTTATAATAAATATAAATAATGTGAATATGGTGCACATGTATTCATTTAATTATGTAAAATATTTAAATCAATTGTAATTCACAAATGAAAATATTACATTAAATCAGTCAAATTAATAATAATAATAATAATAATAATGCATGGAAGTACCAAAATACTTGGAATTGTGACTTTTTCTATGTGATAACATTGTTTTTCTACACTGATAAAAAAAAGAAAAAGATATTATCTTTAAGTACTGGTTTTGAAAGAACATCTGCTTTTAGATAAAGCTTTACGGGGGTAAAAATATATGACAGTATCAGACAGCTTACCTTTTTGTTGACGTTATAGATTTTAACAAGCTAAAATGACATCAAGTTTGCGAATTGCAGCCGAGTTCCTGTCTTCAGTCTTAAAGAAATCTTGACGCTCTTTAGTTGCGCCTCAGGAGACGTGTTTGAAAATAGATTGGTAAAGAAAAATCATATCTAATCTTCTAAGTGCAACTTTAAAATCTATGAAATTCCCTCCTTTTTCCCTTCTGGCACACATTGACCTAAATTCTCCAGGATCCACATTACACTCAGAAGTGTGGTGTAAGGTATTGTTGCTAAATAGAGACCGGCTGTGACTTTATGCGTTACTAGCGCAGAAAGACAGCCAGAGATATGCACACACAGATACACAAACCTCGCCTACAGCCTGGAAGAGAACTAATCCAGGCAGACAGGGCACGGTCACAAGCTTGTGGTGGTGGCATTTTAGGGAGGCTGCGGTGGAGCCCGTCCCCTGGAGGAAATAACCAAGTCTGCTTCCAAGATCTTTAGACGGGTCATATCAGGAAGATTCAAATTATTTCCTTGATACTTTGAGATAAAAGTGTTCAATGTACGGTATTATATTAAAAAACCTTCTGACCCAGTACTGCATTTATCATGCAAAAATGGCATTTACATCAGGGTTGGATATAATGAGTAATAAGTGAACTACGAGTACTAAGCAAAGATTATATACAGAATAAAGAAAAGTTTAAAAAAGAGCAAGATTTAACTGATTAACCACAGCCTATGAGAAGCATCAAAGAATCAGAATCACCTTTAAAAAGGGGCGAAACTTAGAATGCATCTAAAGGCTGCAAAATGGTTACTTGCATTGACTTTGGTTGCTGAACAAGAGTCTAGATGCGGTAGAGTTCGGAGATTCTTGATGATTTCGCTAGGAGTGCGCTGAAGCTTTCGATGGTCCAGGTTGAATCCAACGTAGTTACTTGAAGGTAATTTGCCGGTAAAATTCAGGAAGTGTGATGTCTCAAAGAGATTGAGCCAAGATGTTTCTAGATAAGGAACACTTAAAGGTATTTTTTCCAACTTTTTTCCAAATTTGTTTAAACTTTCTATATATATCAATGCATAATTAAAATGTAAGTACTCTGATAAAAAGAGTATAAAAAACGAGTGACTCTAGACCGTTTAATCTGCACTAAACACAGCTCATTATTTCCATCCGGGACAAAACAAAGGATTTGCTTAGGCGACTGTCACTCTCTCGCAACCATGGCAACCACCCTTTTGCCACACAGGACCTGCCCACTTGCGCGTACCCGTTTGATTTGAGGAATTCAAGAGGCACGGAACCTAGGAATAGCAAAACAATGGCAGAGAAAGACCAATTAAAATTCACATATGCAGTTCGCGAAGGCAAACCAGGCAAAAAAAGGAAGACAGTAACGCTACTAGAAAAGGTAATGAACAAAAAGTCTTTGGATAAACAACGATTTATCTGTCCTCGAGCTGACGATGCTGGAGAGTGATTATCAGATAGCCCTTATCAGAGTCAACAATGCTTTCATCATGGAAACTCTTACATGCAGAACACTATATATGTTATGAATCTTACACGAAATTCATCTTCATCACAGTGTAAATGATGGCAATGGAAAAACGTGTATCATGCAACCTGTTTTTAGCTTTGCCTTATAGATAACTAGCTCGTTAGCGAATCAATAAATATATATTTTAAACTTTACCGATATCAATATGCTAGCTTGATATTGAGTACAAAAATACATCTTATTTGTTTATCTCCATAATAATAAAGTTAGATTTTTTTTAATACATGTGATTCTGACATGATGTCACTACATGCACTGCGCTCCTTCCTCTCCGCTAGTCTCAGGTAAATAATGCGTCTTCAGCTCAGCGGTCGGAGTCGCGAGTTCATGTGTTTTGGGGGCGTGGCTTTGGAAGGAGCCCAGAAGGGAGGGGGTGGAGTGAATGGAAACAATGAGCTGTCTTTTAAAACAGTCGTGAGAGGTCTACAGACATTCGATTTTTATACTTTCTTTTTCAGAGTACTTACATTTTAATTATGCATTGATATATACAGAAAGTTTAAACAAATTTGGAAAAGAGTTTTTTTTTAATAAAAATCCTACCTACAATACCTTTAAAGCCAGTCAATCCGTCACACCCATTTTTGGTGAGGTGACCAATCAGAGGTCCGAGTTTTGACCTTATTTGCATGCATATGGTAGTCTGGAGAATTTGTGCAGTTTTACACCAAAGTATGGTAAAAAATAGTATGATGCATTTTACAGTAACATTTACATTCTTAATAGTTCTTGCTTTCCCTGGGAATCGAACCTATGACCTTGGCAATGTAAGCGCCAATGCTCTACTGTTTGAGCTACAGGAAGGCAAGGCATACAGGAGATAGCAAAAGCGAATATGGTTTGTGTTAGCAACACATTATTAGATACACTGCTAGGTAGTCTGGATACCATGTACCAAGTTTTCGCCTCATCTAGGGAACCAATCACAGAACGGGGAGTGAGCAGCAAGATGATGACGACGTCTATGCGACACACTGAAGCAGTTTGTTTATACCTATGGATCCAACATGGCAGCAGACGCGAAGTTACCTTTCGATGCAGCCTTACGGCCGTTTCACAGCGCAAGCGTGAGCGGCACTTGAGCAGCGCGTCAGCGTAACTACATCGTCACTGCAGCTGCAGACGCACGAGAGTATTCACACTGGAAGCGTTTGTACAGTGTCACAGCAGCGGCTCCAAAGCTACATATAAGCGAGCAATTCTTTACAAAGACAACTACATTTGTTTTTAGAAGTTGGTCATTTATAACATTCATAGTCTTGAAAGTTTGTAATGGGGAGGAGTACAACATTCACATATAAATGTTAAACAACAAAACAACCCAGAAAATGGCTCAAATCTATTAGTTTCAGTCATACTTTCGATATGTTTACAAGACTGCAACTCCGCGGATAAAAAACAAAACACAAATAAACCACACACTCGGGTTTGATTTGGGTTGTGGTAGCCCATGTAGCTGTCTGTGTGTTACATAAACTAAAAGAATGTTTATATAATATTTTCCGGCTAGTTTACTTTAGTTTTTTTTTATATATAATACACAACTTTCACCCAAACTGAATAATTAAAAACAAGTTTTTACCGGGTAGCCTAAATCTTCTACAAATATATTTTTGAGTCTTTATTTTCTTTTATTTGCCTAAGTTCTTGTTAAAACTCACTAGACATGCTTATTCTGTGCATTTTGGGCACTTTGTGTGAAATCATACTTATTTTTGTCCATCAAAAGTGTGCTTTCACTTTAATTGAGCTCCTGCTCGACGCTCATGCGCTGCTCCTGCTGCCGGTGTGAATGCACTCATTGATTAACATGCAAGCCTGAAAAAATACGCGCTGCTCACGCATGCGGTGTGAAACGGCCGTTAGATACACGCCATCGTGTACACATAAATCTCATAGACAGTAAAAGAAATGGACGGAGCGACCCCATTGATTTCAACGGAGAAGACTTGAAGCCCGATTATTGCACTTCCTGTCTGATGTCTGAGCGACTGCGCAGGCTCAAACTGAGCGTGACGACAGTCTGGCAGTTGAAAATCTAATAGTAGCTGTGCCAAGACAAATCTGAATCACCTAATTCCTCAAAAACGTTGAAATATTTTGTCCCATTGCTTTTATAGACTCTCTATGTATGGGCTTCTACCTTGACTTTGTGCCTCCATGTCCTCCTGATTGCCTCATAGACAGTTAAAGATTGCCTGCGAGCTTCTCCTCCTGTCTATACGGTAATGTCTCTATTGTGCGACAGAAAGTCCCGTGGTTATGACGCAATTAGCCTATTTTTAAAAAAAACGGCTTCTACGGGGCTATAACGTAAGATACAAAGTAATGGAACATTTTATACATTGTCGTGTTTCTTTAGAAATTAATAATGGACAAATGAAGTCTTTGGACGCCTCAGATGTAAAGTTATTCGCTGTCAAAGTGACGCCAAAATGAATGGGAGTCAATGGG